CGGCGGTGAAACAATGGCGGACTGATGACAGCTCACTCAGGGCGGAGCTAAGGTAGAACGCTAGTGTCAATCAACAATCGTGGGAGGGGCCTGGGTCAGTGTGACATCACACAGCCAAGAATCTGAAAACAGCTTGATCTGAGAAAGAGCTTATTATTTGTGGTGATTAAAAAAAAAAGAACTGGGTGGATTTTTATCATTATAGGGGTGGTTGTGTACACACACTGCCAACACACATTTCAGTTCAAACAACTTGTAAAAGTGAATTTTGCATCTGATGTCCCCTTTAAATTTGCTGTAAAATGTGAAGTCTGTGTAAATGCGCCTTATCTCCTGAATTCATGACTGTCCCTGTCAAAGCTCATATGTGTAGAAAATACATATGCAGCATCTATATTTGTACATACATGCATAAGAAATTTCAACTATTATCAGAGAATAATAGTGATTAACTGTGAACGATTTTATTAATTTGAAAATGTTTTGAGACCCTTTTTATGATAACATACTGTGTAAGAACTTACTTCCACAGAGCCGATCTTTTTGGAGCGGGGAAGAGGGGACTTCCTGTGGATGTAGATGGGATCGGACACCATGGGGCGGAACATCATCAGAGCTCGATCCGGCTCGTCACGTTTAGCACCACCGGCATCCTCATCGCTGTCATTATGGGATTTCTTCTTGGAGCCCTCATTCTGAGACACATTCAACATTTAAGTGCATTTGAGAATTTCAGATTTGTAAAAAAAAAAAAAATGCAACTTAGAAATGCTGCAAATGAAAACAAGTATTTACTGTAAATAGCAACTCTTAATTGAGATGGAATCTGTCTTTAACCACCAATTCCACCCAAACCCAGGAAGAGGAAATGAAATACATAGAATAAATTACAGGGGGGAAAAAACACACACAACAGCCATTAGTCAGTGCATTAGTCAGTGCAAACCTCTCTAGATGCTGGTCTATATCCAAATCCAGATGGCAGGTTTTTATCTTCTTCACAGCCTTTAGCTCCTGGACTGAAATGAAGCTCCACATGGAAACGATCCTCTGATGAAGGATCCTACAAATCCAAAGCCCTCATTAACACACATCACATGTCTGTCCTCAAACATCATACATGCATATATGAATAAAATATGAAGCTAATTGTCTTTTTCCACAATTAATTGTTAGAGTGTCTCGTCTAGGCAAACCAATTGTTCAGTGGCTTGCAACGAATTTGATTTCTTCCAATACAAAAAAAAAATCAAGCATGTCTATGTATGCATAACAGGCCTTGTATGCCTTAAGACAAATGTGCTTAATTGCCATTCTCTTAATTCTTTTGAAATCGTGTAAATAATTAAGCTACAATCAATAAAGTTTAACTGTCTTTGTATATTTATGAAAGTTGACCTAAACAATTCCTTAGAATTTCGTTCTAAAATTACAACACAGCACATTCATTTTAAAAGGTATGCTATAACGTAAGTTTTGCATGTGCAGAAAAACCATTTCATACATTTCTTGGACAAATCAGAGGTGAAATGCTTTTGTGTTATTTAAAAGCACTGCATGTGTGCCGACATGCTGGCACCTTGTTTGGGTCTTCATAGAGCATGATGACTATCTGCGTCATGTAGTTCAGCTCGCTGACTATTTTGAGGTAGTCCATGGCTCTCTTCCACTGCTCATCTCTGGCCTCCTGAGGATACAGCCAAACAATCCCTTCAAGTAGAACTCAGATCAGCAAAACAACAGCCAGGATATATCTATGTACTGTAAAAAGCTTTAGAAGATGATATTAATCAGGGCATACATCACAGAGGGCTCCATAACGCAAGACCGACAGCAGCGAGTGAACGTGACTCTCACTGGTGAAGTAAAGTCTTGTGCGGACATGGCGTTCTGGAGACATGACTCCTCTTGAATACCTGCAGAATATATCAACACAAAAAGCCTTTTGATTTCACCCAAAACCTGAAATATTTACAATCAAATGCCAATTCATTTCAGGGGTCAAGACACACAGGTTTTTTTATAATGCAAGTATTATGCACCAAAAATAATGGTCATATCTGACCGTTTTCCACCCTGTCTTTGACCATATGAATGAAAGGCTTGGTTTTGGTGCTCTTTCATTTTTAAGATTTCAAAGTTCGTCATACCAAAGCGACCGTGTCTCTTTTAGGAGACATGGATTAAACCAGTGTTTCCCAACCACTAGTGTGCCGTGGAAAATGATCAAAAACGTTCTTATTGCTATTATATTTCGTTATTATTATTTTTAAATCAGTGCTATTGGTCATCGTTATGTCTGTTTACAAATATTTAACCAATGAAAAGCATTCAAAAGTGCTAGTGACTAAACCTCGCAATGCCATTGGATCCTCAAACTGTCAGTCAAACCTCTTAACTCCACCCCGCCTCGACGCGCAGTTTGAAGACAGACGGCTACGTCTTCACAACGCAAGAGTAAATAAAGAACAGACGTTTGAATAAGTACAGCGTTTCCTTTACTCAAGATACACCGTCTATAAAGGCTTATGTTTTTGTGTGTTTAAAGAACAGAGAAGAGTCTAGTTACAGCCAATACACTTTTGTACGTTTGAAATATCCTGTGCATAGTGGTTCGTCTGATTTATCGTGAGATTTTGGCCAAATGTATTCGACAAAAAGAGAAACTGAGGGCCCATATAGCTACAACAAACTTTATAACATAATGCGATTAACTGTGCGGTTAAACGCAACCGCTCTAATGATGGGCAAAACACAGATCTCCGTCATTCGGTCATCAAAAACCTTGTTAAGTCCATTTGAATATGATTTTCAGATATTAAGTGCAAGTGTCTGATCATATATAAAGCCAAAATACCAACTCTGATGACGCAATGTTTAATTATTGAAAAAAAATATATATACTTTTCCCCTTTTTCTTTTTTTTTTCTTTTAATACTTAGTGGTGTGCCGTGGGATTTTTTTTTACATATCAAAACTGTGCCGCGGCAGAAAAAAGGTTGGGAAACACTGGATTCCTATTGATTACTTTTACGAGATCTTTATAAACTTTTTAAAGCTTGCCTGGACATGGATGGAGAATATATTTTTAAAAAATCGTACAAGTTTGAAATTACGTTAGGCTGTGTAATCGATGATAAATTTTCATGTTTAGGTAAACTAATCCTTTAGTAGTAGCATATATTTATTTAATGCCATGTCAGCATCTAAGGCTATTTTCATGGCAAAAACAATTAAAAAATACAAGTATAACAAATACAATAAAAACCGGCAAACAAACAAACACAAGTTATATTACACAAGATGTTTTATATTAACATATTCAGGATCTTAGGCTATTTTCATGGTAAAAACAACTTAAAAAATACAAGTATAACAAATACAATAAAAACCGGCAAACAAACAAACACAAGTTCTATTCCACAAGATTTTTTACATTAACATACGTTTAAAATTCTAAAACATTTCCCGCCAAAATTATACTAAATAACTCTTTAAGTGAGTTCCTAAAAAGAGTTTTCTACATACATTAAAAGCTGGACAGTCCAATAAAATATGTTTGACAGAAAGGGGAATCTTGCAGAACATGCCGTTTTTAACAAAGCACAGTGAATGTTATAAGATCAAGGAAAGTTTTATTCCTCGCGTCGTTCCTTCAGATCTTGAACTGTGTATTGGCTAGTTTTTATATTGTCTATAAGTGATATCTTTTATGAGTGTTGTTTAGTCCAGCTCAAGCACTGAAACAGACGCTGTCTTACACTGGGTGCAGTTTGTTAACGGTGTCATCGTCTTGTGTCCTCTGCAGATCAGAGCGGATCTTGCGGATTAGAGGTGTACAGTAACCTTTGGCTATGTCCAGTTTCTCAGCTTGAGAAATACCATATTCCTGACAAGAGCAGATAAGGACAATTACCAAAAAACAGTTTAAGATTATAAACAAATTGTACCACGTCAATTTATACCAGCTCTCGTAGTATATTTAATTGATATTTGACCAGAAGCAAATGGAGGAATTAAAAACTAAAATAAAAAAGGTCACCTGTGGGATGACAATGTCAGCCAGTGCTTTGGACAGCCGGTAAATTTCCATAGTGTTGTCCAGCTTTAATAAGCTGTTGTGCTGCACGTCATATTTGATGCAGTCATAGATATCAGGGATCTTGCTGATGTTGTATCGGCCGTTCTTCATCTTGAAATCCTTCTCGAGTTTAGACCACCGACGCAGCATCAGCTCAAGAGTCTCACTGTGGTACAACTGGATATCTGTAACACAAAAACAAAAAATGTGCCACCTGATGTTAGCATAAGACTCGGTGACTAATATTTGAATTGCATTTTCATGTCAATAAAATAGCTGCACTTTCAAAGGCTTCTTTATATGCAAGATTAAAATGTATTTTTAATAAAGCATGCACAGTTATTAACATCATGTCTACCTGCTGATTTGGGGTCTTCCATTCTCTGGCGGATCTGCAGCGTCAGGTTCTGGATGAGGGAGTACACCTTATCACACGTCTTCACGGGGTTTTTAATCATCTGCATGGACTTCACCAGAGAAGTGCCGGAGGTGGGCGCCAGCTATTCCAAAAATAAAACATCAGCACTCACAGCAAGAGAAAAATTCAGATAAAATGGGTGGACGGCTTCGAGAGGTAAATTCACAGTTGCATTCATTTTTATGAATTCAGTGGTCTAATGAGAAATACTTTTAAAAATGCAGTGATGAACAACATAGCGACCAATTCTATAAACAATGTTCTGCAAAAAGTATCTGCAGTCTTTAATCTATTTGGCAATCTTAAATCTGATTGTACCTTCTCGTAGTCTTCAGGCGTGAAGTCTCGTTCCTTCTGCAGAATGTCATGAAGTCGTGCTTTGACTTTCTGCTGGCAGCTGCTTAAGGAGTCACTGTCACTGTCCAGCAGCCCATTCATATTCGCACTCTTTACCATCTGCACCAGGATGGGCGTCAGCTCGCCCTCTAATGCCAGCAGGCCCTGAGACAGCAGACATACTCTTACTCAGACTCAAGCATCCAGTCGTGCATATGAGAAATAAGCATATTATAAATAATATTTTTTTAAAAATGTGACCCTGGACCACAAAACCAGTCATAAGGGTAAATTTTTTGAAATTGAGATTTATACATCAATATATAATAATAATAATTATTATTATTATTATTATTAAATAATATTTAAACTAGGGCTGTCAAAATAAACATTAAAGCATTCAAAAAAAAAAAAAAAAATGGAATTTAAATATTTAAAACGGTTTATACTTTTAACATTAACACATTAAAAGTTTAATTCTGCACCCTCTCTCTCCAAAACCCTCCCAAACTGCATTATTTCATTAATAAAGGAACACATTAACTATATTAAAAAATTGAGATCATTAACCATTTAAATACTTGTAGAATTGAGGTGGAAGACACTAATGTATTCTTGTAGAGCTGCTCTATAGCTGAATCTAATTAGTTTCATAATTGTCAAATTTTGCAGCATGGACACTGTTATTGAACTGAACTGAATCAACACTGAATAAACTTGACTTGAGTGGAAAAATGACACTATCGTCTTCAGTAGAGCTGTTTGTAGCTGAACTGAACTTGCATCATAACTGATAAACTTCACTCCATAATGGCAATCTTGTCTTTTTAGAATAGCTTTACATTTGAATTTGTTTCATATTTGATGAATTTGGCATCACTGAATCTGTTAGCCTACTTCCCTGAAGCTGCTTTGAAACAATCTGTATTGTATAAAGCATTAAAAAAGGGTTGATACACTTACAACTGTAGTTTTAATAAATTACTTTAATACCACTTAATCTTTTATATTTACAACCCAATGGAGAAAATAAAGGTGGTCGTGCTACTTTAGCAAACGCTGCAGCAGTCATCTGAACGCGTCCTTCATCAGAGGCGTATATCTTCAGGTCATGCCTGTATGTGCTGTGCAGACGGAGAAGGCCACAGCCGGGAAAGCCAGCGTAATCGCCTGAGACCAAGGATAGACAACAATAAAGAGCACCCTAGTGAAAAATAAATATACTAAAATGTATATGAAATACATTAATTTCATGCTAAGTCTACTACAAATACATTTACATATTTATGTACTTAATAAAAATACCCTGCAATTGTAATTTTGGCATACTTAAAATTGGAACAACTAATTTTGTTCTTAATGCACTTTAATTATGCAGAAGTACTGCTGAAGTCCAACTAAAGATATACTGAAGTATATTTGATTGTGCTAAAGTGGAACTATTGCAAGTATACTTCAGATACACTTTAAATATCTTGCATTTAAAGACCAGTATTATTCAAAGATCATACAATCCTCATCAATAGTGACTTTAAAACACATTTTAGGCTTAATATTAAGTAATGTGCATTGTGCGCAAGTAGTACTCCTTTTTATATCAGTTAGTCTCAAGCGATCTGTCAGTAAATATATTAATAGATTTGAACTATACTTAGTATGAAATAAATTTATTTTAAATATACTACTTTTTTTTATTAGGGCAGACATGCTAAAGACAATAATGAGCACAGTGAATGAGAGTAAAGTACCTTGTCCTCCAGGGTACATACACCTGAAGGCCCGGCCAAGTTCTTCAGCCTGTACCCTGCCTGCTGGAGTCAGCTCTCCACCCCACTTCAAAACCAGCAAGAGCGACGGATCGTCCCTCCGCACGTCTGAACAAAAACACACACACACATCCATATCAAATACATCAGCCTTGGATGCAACAACCATGAACAATTCATTAACCATCTGATAAAAAACGGGACCCCAAAAAAAAAAAAAAAAAAAAGAAGAGCAAGAGTTTTACTCAAACTTAAAGCTCTCCCCTTCCCGGCGTCCCACTATTCAACGCCCATTTCTTTTACTTTTCCAAATCTGAGGTGTGAATGAGCAAAGCTTAAATAGGACGAGCGGTGGCTTTTGTGACCTTTTAAGTGAGTGGGTTTTGCAAGAAAATTCTGCAATGTGGATTAGACTTTAGAATAAAGTTTGCACAATACTGCACTAAAATAAGCCTCTTTAATTTACTTTTACTGTACTTTATTATCCACATTGTGGAAAATTGCCTCTGGCTTCACAGTACATCACCAACATATAAAAAACACACGAGAAAAACATGCAAGATAAAAAAAAAAGTCACTTGCATTTGAAGTCATTCTTTCGTTATCTAATGTTTTTAATAAAATGTAACTGATCTTACACTTACATAAAACCATGTAAACAAACAGAAGGCCAAAAGAAACAGCATAAAAATCAATCATAAGCAGCCAAAAGATACATGCATGACCATCTTTACCTTCCTCTTCACTGGATGTTTTAGGGCAGCCATGTGGCAGATATGTTAACTGAACCTTGCGATTAATGCCAGAGAAATGGCCGTACCTGAACAAACAAAATGAGATGTTAGAAATGAGACTGAAATATAGCTGTATATTTGAATATAACTGGGCCAAGCATGATATGATCAAAAGTGGCATTAATTTGGAATGGATAGCATTACATTATATTAAACGAGTCTACCCTCCAAGATTACTGTTATAAACATGAGCCGCGTCCAAAAGGTAAAGGGGGAGGTGTTGCTTCAATTTATAACAATATTTTCAGTATTTCTCAGAGGGCGGGCTTCAAGTATAACTCGTTTGAAGTAATGGCGCTTCATATAACATTATCCAGAGAAACAAGTGCTAATGATAAATCCCCTGTGATGTTTGTACTGGCTGCTGTATACAGGCCACCATACAGAATTTATTAAAGAATTTGCTGATTTTCTATCCGAATTAGTGCTGGCTGCAGATAAAGTTTTAATTGTTGGTGATTTTAATATCCATGGTGATAATGAAAAAGATGCACTGGGATCAGCATTCATAGACATTCTGAACTCTATTGGGGTTAGACAACACGTGTCAGGACCTACTCATTGTCGAAATCATACTCTAGATTTAATACTGTCACATGGAATTGATGTTGATGGTGTTGAAATTATGCAGCCAAGCGATGATATCTCAGATCATTATTTAGTCTTGTGCAAACTTCATATAGCTAAAACTGTAAATTCTACTCCTTGTTACAAGTATGGTAGTAGAACCATCACTTCTACCACAAAAGACTGCTTTGTAAGTAATCTTCCTGATTTATCTCAATTCCTCAGCATATCCAATAGCTCAGAAACTATGGACTCTCTCTTTTCTAGCATCTTAAGGAAGATTAAGAAAAACAGTCCATACCATTGTGGTATAATGAGCACACTCGCACCCTAAAGAGAGCAGCACGGAAGCGCAGCTGGAAGAAAACAAAACTAGAGGTATTTCATATTGCATGGATGGAATATATCTCCTCTTACAGAAAAGCC